GAAATGTTTCCACCCACCGGAATCGAACCCGGGCCCTCCGTGTGTGAAGCGGGAGCTTTACCCACCAGGCCACCGGGCCACCACATGTTGATTTGAAGTTCATATGGTTAGCCTACATATTGAATCAAAGGAAGGAGGACTTCTTTGATTTTTGCAGGTGCTGTGCATCGAGACCATTACGTTACAATGATCAGCAGTAATCCGCCATCATGCTGACATTCCATTTGCCCTGGTATCGAATTTCTATGGTGCAAATATCCTGATGGAACCTCTCTCCTTGCTCCTCACTGTAGTCCCGCAATTGTTGGGAAAATAGTCAAGATGTGAGTGCAAAAAGTGCATCTTCACACTCATTCTAGACTCAAGTTGCTGGAAACTTGAAATCAGGTCTTGGATCATTTTATCATATTCGGGAGAACGCCTGTTTCCCAGGAAGTTGTGGACAATCTGCTTGAATGAAAACCAGACATTCACCTCAACACCTGCTAATGCTTCATCAAAATGCTTGTCCTTCATCAATTCCCGAATCTGAGGGCCAACAAAGATTCTTGCATTTAGCTTGCCTTCACTTATACGAGGAAACTTTGACTCCAGGTACTTGAAAGCAGTTCCATTCTTGCTCAAGGCCTTCACAAAAATTTTCATAAGCCCTGATTTGAAGTGGAATGGTGGCAGCAGAATATTCTTGAGGTCAACTAGTGGCACAGTTTTCACGTTGTGATTTCCGAGTAAGAAGCTGGTTCTTGGTGGCCAGTCTTTTTGTTCATAGTGCTGGCTGTCTGCCCTACTATCCCAAAGACACAGAAAACAGGGATACCGGTGTATCCGCCTTGAAGACCTTGTAGGAGAGCAATAACTTTTAAATCACCACAGATGAGAAAATTGTGACTCGGATACTTGATTGCAGATATTAATGTCCTCATATTTGCGTAAGTTTCTGATATTTGGACACTATGGCCAACTGGCACAGATGCAGCTATGTTGCCATTGTAGAGAAGTACAGGCCAGAAATATTTGAACAGAAAACTAAAGATTCCTCTTTGTCAAAGAACTGAGTGAATTCCCCTTCACGATGACGGTACTAAGTGAATGTTGATCCAGGAGCTAGAAGCCTGTGCTCCTTCAGTCTAGAGCCACGTAACTGTGCACTTCTTTTGGAAGGTTAAGGTCTCTCACCAAGTCATTGAGCTCAACTTGGTTGAAGGGTTTGTGATCGTCATTTGTTGGTGGTTCATACTCTACTTCCATCTCCTTAGAATCACTGGTATCAGACTCTGATGAAATTTGCCATGTCTCAGGTGACACAGGTACAGGTATATCTTCAGAGTGTGGAACAGACCTTATTGCTGAAGGAATATTTGGGAATATTATGCGATCTTTATTTTCTTGTTGAATCCAGCTACTCTAGTAATACAAAAGTAGCAGTCATCATGGTGGTTCAACTGCTCCCGCCATGCCAACTGACCACATTTGGAGCTTACTGATTCAACTTTTGCAAGCTTTGTGTGGTGCAAATGGTTTGTCCTGGTCTCCAAGTTTGCTGCCAAAATAAGCGAAGTAGCAGCGCTTCAATAAAGGAGTAATGTTGCTCCGGGAATCTGAAGGGATGAATTGTCCGCAGACATAGCAAAATATGTCTGGTGAATTTATGCAGCCTCTAAACATATTAATAATCTGAAAATAAAGAAAAATGAATTAGATTTAACATTTAAGCAATATACGATAAACATTTTAATTGATAATATACCACTTTCTCATTTACTTATGTTAGACGAAAAGTGAAAAGTAACGTTTCCGTATAACTTGACAACCTATGTGATAGAGATGACAAAAAAAAAAAAATAAATCACTATTTTCCATATATATATATGCCGAAAAAGATACCATAGAGTCAATAAAAAAAATAATGCAGCCTAGTGTTATCAGCTATAATTGACTCTAGTAATTACCTACAAAATGTGAGCAAGACTTGGGAATTATGGTAAGAAGGAACCTGAACAAAGACGGCAGTACCTAAGCACTTTCTGAAAAGCTCTGCCATCCTGACTCTTGACATGTTGAACGGATTCTAAGGAGACTGATGAAGTAAAAAACAGTATGTGGAGAAGGATATTTATTGTTGTAAAGTATTTCACCGCCACTAGCTTCTTCAGTCCTATATAAAAATGGCGGGAATCAAACTTCCAGAGGGTTGTAGTAGTACTGCTGTGGTGAGATGGGTAGGGTTTGAGAAGGATCTATCATCATGAGCCGTATATCTGCTACAGTCCTCTTCTACTCATAGTAATAAAGTAGGTATCATGTTACATTAGTCCCCAGAATGGGCAATATCCTGTTGTTGAACAGTTTGGATATGGCGTGACTGCTGGATATTGCCCATTTTGGAGACTGCTGTAACATGGTTTCTACTCGAGCACTATGTACAGAGCAAACACTGCAGCACGTCTACTGGCCCATGTAGACAGGTCCTCACATCAATCCCTCTCATAAACAGCTGTACACTGACGCGTATCTACGGAAAATAGTGCCTGTGGCTAGAACTTTAATTGCGCCCCAGTTCAAACATCTGACAACCATATTTTAGATAGCTTACCGCAAAATCACTCAGAAATATGAGTCAAACTCAGTAATCTTTTAATTAACAAATTATGGCGCTACTTGATAATTACAACTGCACCTTCCTTGCTTTCACTGATGCAGTTCGGTCTATTATGTGCTCAAATTAATTTTTTTTTCTTCAGTTTCTTATCAGTAAGCAAGATCACAAAGTCTGCGTTGAATAATACGGAAGTATTAGTTTTAACTTGTTGAATGTTCTCTCACAGCTGGCGATGAAAACTGCGTTAGTTAGCAATGGGAGGACTGGGGAAGACGCTCTCATGTCCATAACTCAACAATAAGTATTTTTATATTTTCATGCTAGTCCGACTTGGCAGTAACATTCTGCAATCCAAAATTTCTTCATATAGCTGCTGTCCCATTATAATCAAAGAGAGATCGTACATCTGAAGAAGACTTGTCTGACTTTAAACAGAAACTACTTAGTGGTGCCCCCCCTTCAAGTGGCCCCAGGTCCCCCCTTCAAGTGGCGCCCAGGGCCTCCCTTCAAGTGGCGCCCAGGGCCTCCCTTCAAGTGGCGCCCAGGCCCCCTTCAAGTGGTGCCCCAGGCCCCCCCTTCAAGTGGCGCTCAGGGCTCCCCTTCAAGTGGCGCCCAGAGCCCCCTTCAAGTGGCGCCCCAGGACCCCCCCTTCAAGTGGCGCCCAGGGCCTCCCTTCAAGTGGCGCCCAGGGCCCCCCTTCAAGTGGCGCCCAGAGCCCCTCTTCAAGTGGCGCCCCAGGACCCCCCTTCAAGTGGCCCCCAGGTCCCCCCTTCAAGTGGCGCCCAGGTCCCCCCTTCAAGTAGCCTCCCAGGGCCTCCCTTTCAAGTAGCCCCCAGGGCTCCCCTTCAGGTAGCCCCCAGGACCTCCCTTCAAGTAGCCCCCAGGGCCTCCCTTCAAGTAGCCCCAGGGCCTCCCTTCAAGTAGCCCCCAGGGCCTCCTTCAAGTAGCCCCCAGGGCTCCCCTTCAGGTAGCCCCCGGGGCCCCTCCTTCAAGTAGCCCCAGGGCCTCCCTTCAAGTAGCCCCCAGGGCCTCCCTTCAAGTAGCCCCCAGGGCCTCCCTTCAAGTAGCCCCCAGGGCCTCCCTTCAAGTAGCCCCCAGGGCCTCCCTTCAAGTAGCCCCCAGGGCCTCCCTTCAAATGGCGCCTAGGGCACGTACCATACCAGCCATGCCTTAGGTACGCCACTTGCTGTACAACCAGGAGTTTTATCAATGAAATATACAGCAAAACACATATATATGTCTAGTTGATTCTACCTCTGGTGTGGCCTCCACTGCTGCGACTCACTTATATGTAACATATAAATCCTTTAGGATAAACTGTTTAGAAAACCAACAAGTTGAAAATTAGACATTTGTGAAATATTTGGGTACCTTTATTGTGGTAACGTTTTGTCAGCCAGTGACTTCTTCAGTCCAATGTTAGAGAACAGTGGAAGATGAGGAGTTTAAGGTGATCAGTGTCTCATCCTGGAGTCGATATATTCAGTCAGTTACTCTTGAATAATGGACTCAACACATCATCTCAATATTGAGGGACTGATTACCTAAAACTCCTTGACGTCTCACACTGTTTCCTTTTTTTTTTTTGTATTTGACTGATGAAGCCACTGGATGATGAAATGTTTCGGCAATATAGATAACTGTTGCATAAGTGTCTTATTCCTCTACCTTCTCGATACTTGCCTCATAAGTAGGTAGATGCAGAGGCATAAATCCCCACACTTACTTTTTGCCGAAGTGGCTGTATGGGGGGGGGAGGAGGGGGGAGACGGGGGGGGGCGGAGACCTCAAATCCACCTCTTCACAAAGATGGCACGGAAAAGAAATTTTTTAGGATCATTGGAAGAACGAAAGTACGAAAACTTTTCATAAGTTATTTTACTAACATAACTTACGTGAGCCGAAATATTTCTGGTCAGTAACGGGTAATCTTGCTAGTGACTTATACAGCTCAACATATCGTGTTTTTATGCACATATATATCAGCATTATACCTCTTCATCCAGGAAGAAGATTGAGACACATGTGCAGCATCTGGGAATCTTTATCGTAGACTTTTCGCCTTCCAGTGGCTTTATCAATACAGATTCTAAGACATAATTTGATAAAGGACATAACTGATAAAGTCACTGGATGGCGAAACGTCTACAATAACGATACCCAGGTGTTGCACATGTGTCTAAATCTTCTTGTCGCTAATATATACCATTCTTGTACCTCTTCATCCAGTTTGAAATTTAATAACACTGTTTCAGTGACAACGTGTTTCAATAACTGGTTCAATTTCTCTATTTAAGGTAATTTACCATATCCAGTTTCAATAAATTTAAAGATACGAATTTCCAAAAATATCCAGAATATTAAGAAAACATTCCACTGTCCTCTCTATCCATACGACCAGTGTTGGAGGTCGTCTCTAGCAATGAAGACATAGACGTGTTGGTGGACAAGTCGTACTTCGAGACCAATGATTCCTTCGCTTCCTTCTTCATGGGTCTGTACTTCCACGACCTGGATGACCCAGGACCCGTGGCTCCCCAGCACCTGAAGTACGACCTTAGACTTACCAAGTATTGGTTCACCTCGCAACTTTACCCTTTCCTGCAGGTGCCCGGCCCCAGGAACTATTCTCGTGAGTACTGTCTCTCTACATCCGCTGCTAACATATTTATCAACCTTAATGAATATTTATTCTGCTACTGCTGCCGCTGCTGCTACTACTACTACTACTACTACTACTACTACTACTGTTACTACTACCACTACCACTCCGACTATTACTGCTTCTACTACTTACGCAACTACTACTTTTCGTATTACTACTATTTACTAGTACTACTACTGCTACTACTACTACTACTACTACTAGTACTACTACTAATAATAATAATGATAATAATAATAATAATAATAATATAATAATAATAATAATTATTATACTACTACTACTATTAATAATAATAACAATAATAATAACTGCATTTTGGACGTAATGCGACCAGATTAAAGCATCTGTGTATTGTATAACCACTGTCCCCTGTACTTCCATGCAATCTAAAATATTACTGTAGAGTTCATTGTTTCGAATGCAATCAAACATTATATTGAAGATTTGAAGCGAATCATATTTGGTATTCTCAAGTTATCACATGGAACCTAATATCACACTTTCTTCAATAATAATGGCAAATTAGGAGAGTCACAGCCCAAAAGTTTATTTAAAACCTTTCACGAAGAAACATAAGGTTTATCTCAGAGACTGCATTATCCTGAACTACACCCGGTCATTAGGTTTAAATCCACTCAGAATTTTCTCCATGAAGTTACCAGCGTTGTAGGGTGAAGCCAGTTGAATGAGGTTGTCAGCTATTAGTATAGGAAAACCAGTATTTCAATTTTCCCAGTTTCTTAGATAGAAATGGGAATATGGAACAAGCACAGGATCAAATCAATCCATATGTTTCCTTAAGTAAGATTTGTTTGCATGTAAGTTTTACGTAAATATGCTTCCAAGTAAATACGTAAGTTTATTGAAAGCTTGAGTACGTAAAGTAGGACCCGCAAGGGAGGTTCTTTGATGCTGGTGATGGACTCCTGATCAAAGGAACTGATCCTGGGCTTCAATCCCTTGAGATGCTCGTGAATGACTTCCATTCCTCTAGGAGCCAAATGATTATTTTAATAACAAGAGTGGAGAGGATAACAAAGGTAGTTAGAGAGGGCTGTGAGGACTGCTAAATGAAGTATTATCTAAGTTTGTGTAATAAATCAGTTGATGTCCAAAAGTCAAAGAGGGAGACTGAGTCAAAAGTGGGGCCGTCAGCAAGGAGGGAAGATAAATTAAGAGAGAGTAGTGATGACGTTGGAGGTAAATTCTGAAACTGCAACCTGAGAATTTTCACAGAGTGGAACTGGGCTCCTCTCCGTGAGATACCCATGAGTAAGACGTGTGTGCCCGATGCAAAGACGGAAAAGTGTAATCTCCCATCCTCGGCATCGATGATAAGACCAGGAACCTAAACGTGGCTTGATAGAATACAATTTTTATGAGTCATATCGGACCAACGGTGTTGCCAACAGTTACAAAGGTGGTTAGAGATTACAGCAAAAGAGTCTGAGAACGGAATACCTCTAAATGAAACTGGGAGGTCATGTAGCGTTTACCATGCAGCAGAGTCTGCCTGCTTGTTGCCCTGAACATCTAAATGACCAGGGACCCAACAGAAAACAATTTCTTTTCTTTTTTTTTCTAGAAATGCAGCGCATCCCAAGCTGTATATGAAGAACTGTGGGATGAGGCGAATAATTTTTTTTAATAGCTTTCAAAGCACTAAGGGAGTCTGGGACTACGACAAACGTTAAGGTAGGCAGAGATACATTACGAATAATTGCCATGAGAATTGCATACAGTTCAGCTGTAAAAATGCCGAATCTTATAAATGCCCTCGAACAACGCTGTCCAGGAACACTACTGCAAACCCGACACCGTCAGAGAATTTAGAACCATTAGTGTACACTGCAATGGTATGAGAATGAGACCGGAAGTGGTTGAGAAAAAGGGAGCGAGAAGAAACTGTAGGTATTTGAGCTCTCCCGCACGACAGTGGTTAAGAACGGACATGAACTGTCAGACACTCCCTGGAAAAAAACAGAGAGAAGTTAGATGCTAGATGAATATATACAAGGAGCAACTGAAGAGAAGTCAATAGTAAGTGATGATGAACAGAAAAGAGACGGAGTAAACAGGGGTGATGAAAAATAATGGACCACTACTAACGTCCGTTACTAAACTGTATGTAGAAGGATCGTAAAGGTCATGAGAGCGGACAAAATAAAGGAGGCAATGAGCATTACGACGAACGCTCAAGGATGGGACATTCGCCTTTGCATATAGGCTCACGACAGGAGAGGAGCGAAAAACATCTAGACATAAATGTAATACCTAATGATGGATGGGATCAAATTTAGAAAGAGTTGCGGGAGAGGCTGCAGATGATATCTGGTCGCCATAGTCTAGTTTCAGTAAAATTAGGGCTGACTGCAGTCGGAGGAGATTTGTAGATGAATGGTTCAGAGAACCGACATGTTGATGAATTAGACACATGTACAACTCTTGGGTATCTTTATTGAGGAAACGTTTCGCCACACAGTGGCTTCATCAGTCCATACAAAGGAGAATCTTGAAGAACAGGAGGAGAATGAGGGACTGATTACCTCATTCTCCTCCTGTTCTTCAAGATTCTCCTTTGTATGGACTGATGAAGCCACTGTGTGTGGCGAAACGTTTCCTCAATAAAGATACCCAAGAGTTGTACATGTGTCTAATTCATCATCAGTCGGAGGAGAGTTCGACGATCCGCCCCCACGAAAGATGAGCGAGGGTTTTAAGGAGGTTCAGCTGGCTATGGTAAGTTGCTTTCAGGGAGGTAATGGGAGGTTCCCAGGACAGTCGGCGATCAGTCAGGAAGCATACAGGTAGACAGGTATAATGGAGTATCGAGAGAGCAGAAAGACTGGTGAAAGTAATTTGGTGCGTTTTAGCACCAGGAATCTAAACTCATGCATAGTAGTCCAATGGGAAACATAACTGACAGCATTCTGGTGTTAGGCTGCTGCTAGGCGACAGTCAGCGCCTTGCGTATGTTACAGCAAATTCATCGATATAAAGTGATGACCAAATATTAGATGGGAGAACAGAGGCCAGATCATTTATAGCTAGTAGAAAAAGAGTAGTCCTAAGGACACATGCCTTCAGCTTGAACAAAGTTTGGTAAAGGAAATTATTAACCAGAACACGGATATGTCTCTCAGATAAGAAGTTTTAAAGGAAATGTGACACATTACCTCGGAGGCCTAAGGAATGAATCTGGGTCAGGATGTTATATCTCCAAGTGGTGTCATGTGCCTTTTCAAGATCATAAAAGACTGCTATAATAGAATAGTTACTAGCAAAGGCATTATTATCACATGTATTTAAGCGGAGTAATGGAGCGCCCTTTACGAAAGCCAAATTGACTAGTGGAGAGACTATTGCATGTGTCCAAATACTACACCAAACGTCTACTTACTAGACGTTCCATCAATTTGCAAACTGCACTGGTAAGAGCAATGGGGCGATAAACCATGCACAAAGTACCTGGTTTACGAAAAAGCAGAAGAACAGCAGTTTTCTGTAGCTGGGAGGAACTTCTTGCAATCAAATAAGATTTAAAAGACGTAAGAGGACTGCAAGGGCTGGAGGATGTAAATGCTGAAGTATACGAATATGAATGCCATCAGGCCCAGCTGCCGATGATCTAGAAGCGTAAAAAGCACACTCTAAGACTCGTTTCTGCTAGATGACAAGGCTAATGGCAGTAACTCTCTGGCAGACTTTGAGAAACAAGGGGCATAGATGGGGCAATCTCTTTGGCAACTTCAAGAGGTATTGCAGTCCTGACACAGGCAATCCGAAGAACGGGACCCGGGTCTGGAGAGTACTTGCCAGGGATGACACAGCTAGCAACCGCTCTTGCCCGCTTAAAATCAAGGAGTCACTCATTGGGCCTACTGTAATGATATCGGCCCCATGCAGCACGTTTCAAACGTACCGCACGAGCACAAGCAGGAGACCACAAGACACGTTTTTCTGCGAGTGCCTACTCGAGGTTTAAGGGATTGATGTGCAGCCGCTTTTGAAATTGAGGTCAAAAATAGTTTAATAACTCATCGGTAGAGGACGAAGAAGGTTCCTCACTTAAAACAGTTTGACGCGAGTCAAGGTCCCAGGTCACCCGTTCAAACTGCAAACGTGGATTTCGAGGAGGGTGAGAATATGAATGAGACGTAAGGAGGACAGAAAAATGATCGCTGTCATGTAATTCTGGGAGCACAAACCAGTTGAAGTCAAATGCAGTTGATGAGAAGCAAAACTGGGAGATCAATGCAAAAGAGAGATTGAGTGCGAGGGTCAAAATGGGTGGAAGTACCAGTATTTAAAACATGGAGGGAAGAGAGGTGAGAAGAGCCTTTAACTGATCGCCACGAAAGTCACAGTGAGACCCTCCAGAGGAAATGATAAGCATTAAAATCACCTAATAAAAGAAGAGGTGTGGTAAAGAAGAAACCAGATAATGCTCGAAAAGGAGAAAGATACAAAGAGCAAACCGTATACCACTTGTTCAAGTGGATGCGTGATCCAGTGTAATACAGTGAAGCGTGAACAAAGATCTGATGGTGTGCTATACCGGTGCACACAAGATGTACACTTTAGTTAAAAGTTCCATCGGGAAAAGGATCCGATGAATACAATAAAATGTATCCTGAGACGGGATGGATAACAGTGGAGCGCAATTTGGTTTCCAGAAAACAGACACAAACAGGGAAAACTGATGAACTGTTCGCAAGAGTTTTAAAGGAATATAAGGAGGAACTTAGTGAACCTTCGGCTAGTCTTTTCAACATATCACTACAAACTGGTATAGTACTAAATAAGTGGAAAATGGCAAATGTGATACCCATATACAAAGCAGGAGACAAGTCCTTAGCTTCAAACAACAAACCAATAAGCCTAACCTCCATAAAGGGAAAATTAATGGAATCTGAAATTTTCGAGGCTATTCGTAGAAGTCTCCCTTTTGGAAGCGGAGATGG